ATTACACGACCACATTCCGACCGGACGTGTTACTTCACTTCAGAAAGGGTCTTTCTGTCGCATGAGATAATGGGTGTTTATCGCTGATGGTATAACTTGTGCTTCTTTTATTACCTAATAATACATTTAATGTTTCAGACATATACATTTCAACTTCTTTTACTGACAGACGGAAATACAAGTTTTGCTATGTTTAATTATCCGAGTGTAAGTGTGGATGAAAGTCATTTATCTTCTCACTTTATCCAGGTATGTATAAAACACATATTTTATTATCGTTTTCATAACAGTGTGGACGAGACCATTTTTTGGCGCGCTCAAGTCTCTCATTGACTGGGTTAAATTAGTTGAACGTTCGTATGTAACGCCCACTTATCAGTCGTATTTATTATAGATACCAACGCCTAAATCAAATAATTCGAAAAACTAGTACAGGAATAACCTTTGTGTTTTGATTAATATTGAATAATTTTAAAAACGTTCTTTACTTGCGTTTTTGTTATGTTTTGATAAACAATTTTTATGTTATCGCACATTCTTTAAACATAAAAATTAATTTAACTAGCTTTAAAAGTTACAATGTATGCGTTGGCTATTATCTTTTTCGGAAGTCAAAGCGATTAACCCATTACGGTTGTCTAATTTTTTCACTTAGTATCTTTTTACTTTTATCTTTTAGAACGAATGCATGATCAACTTTCAATAGTTGTGCAATTACAAAACATAGACAAAATATACTTTCGTACGGTCTTTTTCGTACTTGCAAGATATTGAACAGTAAAAAGTTATTTGGACCAAGCTTTATGAAATTTGCATTTTACTTCACGAAATACTAGTACGTAAAATGTATAGTTTGGTGTATTTTGGAAACTGGAACTTTTCTGCTAACTACTATACTTGTGAAAACTCCTGGTAGCAGAATGATAATACACCGACTATTCTTCCTTTCCTGAACGTGTTTGAGTTTTTTTTTTTTTTTTGGGGGGGGGGGGGGGGGGGGGGGGTTCTCATGCACATACATGAACATTACTTTTTTTAATCTTAGTGTCGTATTTTTTTTTTTTCGTCCCTAACTTACACACACACAATAATTGACGGCAATTTATATATCAAGATCGCAATGAAAATGTGCATATAATATATGTATCATGCAGGAAATTGATTTTTAAAATGTGATCAAAATTTGATCGAAGCCGAAAAAAGCAACAGCTTAATATGGATTGAAATTGAAATAATTGTTATAATTTAAACAACGTTACTTTTTCCAATATAAACTTTCGAGTACAACCGTGAGAGCGCTTTTCCTTTTCTTTCTTCTGCTGTTAGTTTAACTCAGTTTTTTTTTGTCATGAATTGGTATTGATGTCATCTCGTATGATTTTGAATATGAAGAAAAGGGGATCCGGTTGTATGCCAATAAGACACAACCAAAACGACAAAAAAAAATAAAAAAACGGGCAACATCCATTCTTCAACAATAAAATACGTTACAAGAAAATAGTTTTGTAAGTAAAAGACCCATCTTGAGATACAAGAATGATATATCGACAAGTACTGCAATTTAGTTTATGATTATTTATCTTTGGTCAAAGAGACAAAAAGGATCACACACATGCGTAACAGCAGATGAGGATCCAGCCATTTTTAAAGGGGGGGGGGGGTTCAACCATATGTCCCCATTCAAAAGCATTGATCGTCAAAAAAAAGGGGGGGCGGGGTTCCAACCAATCAGTGTTATCGATAGCCGATGACAACCAATTTAAAGGTAAATGATTCAGTATTATTAACAACAAAAGTACTACGGTTGTCCACACTGTTACGGGAATACCTCTGTATGTTTAAATTTATCATGGTCATTTTCACAAATACTTTCATTTCAAATTTCTCGAGGAAAACGTACGAATTGTTCCTTATGATTTGGTGTATCACATGTACATTATCTGATATTTTTAAAGACGCCAAACTAGAAAGGTATATACTAGCTGTTTGTGTTCAGGGTACACTTGTAACTATCTTCATCCTGCTCGTGAAATATGGCAATGAATTTAAAGTGTTTTTATGCGTTTCAAAGTTTATACTATCAACATATTTATTGGTTGATTTTTTTTTTTTGCTTTACGACCAATGTCAAATATTTCATACATATTCAGGACGAGAACAAATTAACAATAAATCAAATTGTTAAATTTTGAAACGCAGGTCAATCGGGATGAACGGCGGGGAATTAAAAACTACCACTGAAAAATGACATGTGAGATACCTTTGGTTATATAGCTCTTCTCGTGTTTAGGTCTTATACATCCTTGGATTTCAAAAGTTTAGGTTTGAGAGTTCCTGGCGAAAATAAATTCAGAAAAGCTTTTTGGAGGTACGAAATTAATAAAGTGTTATTTTCATTAAGATAGGGGTGGAAATCTGACCTTACAACAAGCCTATCTTAGCAAATCTACAGATCCCATAAATAGTTGTTGTAAGGGTTCTACGTTCAAAGTATATTATTGATTCTTTCATAAAATTCTGATTTTACAGCTCTCATTAATGCTGCAAAAATGTTCTAAGATAAAAAAAAAAATACTTCCAAGGTGTGTTCATCGTTTGACATTTCAAATATATTTCTAGATTGTATTGTGTATATAGCTATTTATGTTCTGTCCAAACTGAAACACATTAGGTTCATTTGTAGACCGGTTTTAATGCAGGAGATGGGAGAGGGTTTACTCCTACAAAAATAAACTTGTCAAAGAGATTTTTCTATAAAGTAGACAAAAGAGACATCGTTGAAGGCGGCTGCACAGACGAGGGCAAAGGTAATTATCTTGTTTAGGGGTACTTACTAGGGACTTGCTTCACAAAACATTCCCTAAAAAATTAAATTCCGTTAAGGTAATCTTTTCTATAAATGTAATAAGATAAACACGTTGTAACTATTAACCTATTGTCTCCGTCTTTCCTTAGAATATTGTACAGTTTAAAACGTATATACCACTTCTGGTGACCGTTCTATCAGGTAATCTGGGGTCTAATAACTTTAACGGTACTAACTTAACGGGACCAGATGCTCATTCCGACATGTTATGTCAAATTAATTTAAAATGTGTTCAAAGCAATATGCATAAACACAACTGCAACGGACCGGACAATCGATCTTCGGATTATTTTATCAATTTTTCATGCGTTACTCGAAATTAAATTTATACCACTTGCAAATTTAGTAAGTTTTGTAACAATGAACAAAAAGATAAGCTACACATAGATTAATGAACTATATATCATATTATAAGATGGTACATTTAATATTTAGGAACAATCAGCATCTATCCCGAAATAGTTAGCATGTTTGGTGGCCAGATGGTTGAAGTTTTTGGACCATGTTATCCGCCTGAAATCAAAGTAATAAAATGCAGATTTGGCAAAAATGACCATTTTGTGACATATGGATTCCAAGTTGATTCAGTGAGAATTAGATGCTCTGTTCCTTTTTTAACGTTCAAAGGATGGACCACGATGGAACTTGCTTTAGGTTTCAATCCTTACATGTATTCGACGAAAATATTCATTGGTAAGATTAATCATCCTTTAAGATGAAATATTGGGCTTTTTTAAATGCTAATTTTGTTTTTTATTTCATAAACATCAATGTTTTATACTTTAAAACATTGTGTGCTAATATTAGATAAATATCTTCATTCAACAACTAGTCTTTTAAACGAATTTTGAGATTCTTTTCTCTCATTTGGTATAGTGAAATTCTTCTAATCGAAATATTTGACAACCAAGATTTCAGAAAAACACATGTACTCCTTCAACATTACTTCAATGTTATATAAAGTAAATTTGTATATTGCACAGCACTTGAAGATACTGCAAATAAAAGACTAGGTCTTCCATATCTTGGGAAACATTCTGGATGGAACGAAACAGATACGAAAAAGTTAACAGTCACATTGGATAGTACCAAGTTAACGTACGACATAAACGCTATGGTCAAGGTTGAATTGATTGGATATAGAGAAACTGACACCGAGGTACACGATTTATATACTAATATCGATCTCTTTGCAATGTTTTGCTACGACAGGTGAGGGTTAACTGGATTAATCATAACATATTTGACGGTTAGAATAAAAAGTTTGTATTTTTTCAATGTTCATATGTAATTATTATTTTCCATTTTCTTTTGTTCAAAGCCTATAAAGTACAAAAATTTGGGAAGAACGATGAAATTTGTTTCCACAAATATGAAACAGTAAATATAATACGATATTTAACGGTATCATTTAACTTTAAGTCTGCACAAAAAAAGCCGATTTCTAAGAACTGATTTCACAGTTCGCTAATTTATATCGGTTATAAAGTAGTTTAATACTATACTGATTGAAATACATACATTATATATACATTTGATTTGAAGTTATGTTCAAACTGAAAACATCTATACAAATATGGGGATGTTGTATGATTGAAAATGAGATTCATATCTACTAGAGACCGATTTACGTGGGTGTAAACAAATAATATGTCACAGTTCGGCCTTTCTATAGTGAGTTGAACTCGTATCGTACAGTAGAAAGTAAGAAGATGCGTTACGGTTGCCAATGAAGCAACTATCTACCAGAAACCAAATAATGCAGATTTAAGCAACTATATTGCACTTAACAACGAGCAAACCATATTGTTAGCCATAAAACGGCCTAGCATGACAAACGTGTTAAACAATTCCAAAAAGAAAATCAACTACCTGATGTATGTGTAAACAATAAACGAAAATGAATATTAATGACAGCAACAAACGATATTAGCTTAATTACAGTCTCCTGTCTTGGAACAGGCACGTTATAGGATAAGATACATAGGCCCTGGCATTACAAATGTGAAATGATTCCATCGAGAATGCCAACGACCTAATTTATTCTAAAACAATAAACGGGGGACAATATGAAATACATAAAACCAACGACAACAACTGTTAATATTGTACTTTTTTTTTTTTTTTTTTTTTTTTTGTATTGCAGATCCAACAAGCAACATTATTAGAAATAGGCGAAAGACAAGCAACAGATAATACTTTAACATTTGATACAGACAAAAAGATGTGTGTCAGTACGTTTTGTACGGACTATGAAATCGGATTTGTCAAAGTTGAATTGAAGAACCAAGCGCTAGCGGCCAGTCATAGGTATATATAGTTCATTGCTGTATGGAAATATTATTTAAGAGGCAACTCTAAATTGCCTTCAAATTTGTTTAAGATAATGAATCAATTCGTCCAGAACCAATAATAACATGTCATTTTTTTCAAGATATCAGATAGCTGAAGTATTGCTTGGATATTACGTCAATGTAGCAATGATAAGTCAGTTTGGAAAAGATTGGCCAAAGATGAAATGCAAACAATGGTACAAAAATGAAAAGATAAATGTTGCATGGGTAAACGGATTATTGCCATGTCCTTGTACTCTTACACAAGCTTTTGGTGATATAGGGCGCTGGAAAGCTGATGATGGATGAGATATTGATAGCGGAAGTAGCTGTACTTATCACAAGGGAGCTGTGCATTGTGTTAGAACTATAGAACCAACGTAAGTGTTAAAAGTTGTCCAAAGACATGCAAGATTGTAAAAGCGTGCTGACAGTCTTGAAGATAAAATATAAATGAAATATCACTTATAACAAAACCCAGGATAATTGAGCAATATGATATCATTTAAGTAATCTTATGGTTAGCCACATTAATAAGACAGTAGTAACTATCCCTTCCGGTACGTATTATTTCTATTTAATTCATATCGTTCTATGATATAGTAGGATTTGAATTTTTTCAACAAATAAGGAGATGTGGTTTGATTGCCGATAAGACACTATCCAATTGAGACCAATGGACGACATTTATATCTACAGGTCACCATACGACCTTCAACAAAAAACAAAATCCTAAGTATATATAGTAAGCTTTGAAAGGCATGGTATAACAAAATGGGAAACAATTCAAATAAGAAAACCAACGTTCTGATTATGCTCAGATAATAAACGAAAAACAAATATGGCATATAGCAAACAACGACAACCACAGAACTACAAACTTCTGAGTTGTTTAAGGAACATTACGAATTTGCGGGGTGAAACCTGTTTATGACCACTCAATCCTCCCTTAACACGATACAAAGGCGCAACAGAACAACATAAGAACAAATGATAAAATTGAGTTGGAAAATTCTTCACTTATCCGATTGACACAAAGTGCAACAAAAAACAATAAAAAGAAAAAAAACCACAAAGAACTGATCTTAGAGAACTGTTAATTTAAGCAACAGTAGTTTACCGATGTTCAAATCTTATAATTTATTTAAGAAAATAAATCAAGTTAACAAGCAAAAACTGAGCGAATCGCAAGTTGTAAGCTAGTTCAAAGCCAATTTTAACCACTGAATACACCTTGTTATTCAATATTACGATATCAATAAGATCACATCTAATGGGTTTAGGGTATTTTGTTTTCATTTCTTCGCTGTCTTGTATTTTTTTATAAATGTACTATAATGGCCTCTGGATTTTTGTAAAATTTTTGACATGGTTTAGTTACTTCTTCAAAAAATTCAATATATAAATTGTGCCTTAAATCCAATGTTACTCTAATTTATGCTAGGGTGTACCAAAGTATAGTCCTAGCATATAGCAGGTTTGATTTTGAATTGCCCCTCTGGATTTTTGTAAAATGTTTGGCACGGTTTAGTTACTTCTTAAAAAAAATCAATATATAAATTGTACCTTAAATCCTATGTTACTCTAAGTTATGCTAAGGCGTACCAAAGTAAAGTCCTGTTATCTTTGTTGAGTTTTTTTTATCCGATCGAAAAATCTGACCTAAAGTTGTCATATATTAAAACGTATATATATGTAATAAAATAAGGTTGACTTGACTATGTGGTAAGTATTATCATCCTTTATGACAGACCAAAATGACTGATTTGCAAGGTATATCATATGTATCCCACACTATATCGTATACTGGTCCGGGAACAAAAAAATTGTCCTTCGATAATAGTCCCTAGTGTGGATAGTGTTTTACTTGTATTTTTTTTTTACACCTCCCGTTTTTCAAAAACCATTTTCTTTGAAAAAATAAAAATGTTGACCACATACAATTTGATATAAACATCGTCGAGAATTTAAATGATTACTATATTTTAAACAGACATTAATAAGACAAATACAGATAACAATCTTGACATCTGTACACGTGTAACTGTATACAGATAACTGTATAGACATATGTACACATGTAACTGTTTACAGATAACGATATAGACATCTGTACACATGTAACTGTAAACAGATAACAATATAGACATATGTACACGTGTAACTGTATGCAGATAACAATAAAGACACATGTACACATGTAACTGTATGCAGATAGCAATAAAGACATCTGAACATGATTAGTTATACAAATAACTATAAATTTTTAATGAGGAAAAATGTCGTATCAGTTTACGTAAAATTGTATAACAAAAACATTGTTGATGGATTACCCGAATATATGGACGATAACATTTAATATACGCTTTGAAATGCTATATAATAACTTTTAATTGATACCTTGGTACGCCAGACCCTATATATGACTCATCAGTGGCGCTAGAATCAAAGCAATTAGAAGGCCAGATCGATAACGATGTTGAAGAACTTTAAAATCTGAATATTCTGACTAGTTGTACCAAATACAACTACGGGTAAAAATCCTTAGTGTTTTTAGAAAATCAACATTTTATATACAGTGAATCTACAGAAAATAAACATATGCCTGTATTTCAGTGGTTGTCGTTTGTTACTGTTTATCATTTTCGTTTATCGTTGAGTTGCTAACTTTGGTCTGTGGTGGAGAGTTGTTTCGTTGGCAATCATATCATATCGCTTTCAAAGAGGGGCGAAAGATATCAAAGGGAAATTCAAACGCATAAGTCAACAATAACTGACAAGCGCAGAAAACGGAATAGACCAAAAGACAAACAACAGTATACAAAACACAATATTGAAAACTAAAGACTGAGCAACACGAACCCCACCAAACACCGAAGGTGATCTCGGGTGCTCTGGATGGTAAAGAAGATCCTGCTCCACATGTGGCACTCGTCGTGTTGCTCATTTAAGTACAAACCCGATGATAAGTCTTATTTGGTAGGTCACATTCGTGGAAAAGGGGACGGGATTGTAGTTTTCCAAATGTCGTTACCACAATCCCGTCCTCTTACCCCGAATGTGACCTACCGAATTAGATTCAGTCTTTAGTCTTCTATGTTGTATACTGTTGTTTGTCTTTTGTTTTGTTTTTTGTTTTGTTTTTTTATCATGGCGTTGTCGGTTTATTTTTGACATGAGTTTGGATGTCCCTTTTGTATTTTGGCGCCTCCCTTTTTGAATAACAATATCCTCAGTAACAATTGGTTTGACTAAAATATTAAAAATATTGTGATATATTTTGTAGTTATTAAAGCACATTTTTGAATTTGATTGAGTCATTCTTTAAAACAACTATATGTTGCATGATATGTTTCATTTACTTCATGCGATTCTTGATGCACAAAATTGAATCATACAAAAATGAGCTTTGTGACAACGTATCGCAGTCTCGTTAGGCCGAAAGTTTAGGCTATAAATGCTCTCTTATTAAGAATTTGTTTTTGTTTATTCTTATTATAAATCAAATGATACATAACACCTTTCCATTGTTCCATTGGTGGGCACTAAGCAGAATAACATACCAAAATAATCCATTTCAGTTTCCGGACGTTAATTTTGATTTTAGATATTTTATTTACTAGTACATGTATAACCTTATTTATTTCGTTGAAGAACTTGAAGAATGATATACCTTTTTATATGTATTCAAGTGTGCCTAAATTCAGTGCACACTCGAGTGTTTTGTAATTGATCATATGTTGAAAAAAATTGTTTACTTTCCTATTTTTAGAATTGACGGTGCAGGTAACCAGTGTTGCTATGATAAAGATGGTAATTTGATGTTTAGTGGTGACTCTTATCAAGGCAGTTCATCAGATCGTTCTAATCCTTTAGGGATGTTTCCATACCAACGCCCAAAATCTGTTCCCTCTGTGTCACATTGGATACAAGACTTATCTCCGTACTATTATTGTTGTCTGTGGTCTAGTTATGAGTACTGTGATATGTATACGAAATTAAGGCCAACAGTAGATTGCACTAGGTATACCCCACCAACGCCAGGTACTTACTATTAACTGAGATATTGATATTGTATTATTTCATTTAAAGTCATATGTTATATGCATATTGTTTTGCTTTTGTTTAAATTCTATAATCTATTTTTTTCAATTATTCCTGTCTTCAGCAAAAATACATTTGCCTGGTTTAATTTGTAAATTTTGATCCCGCTTTAATATATAGAATAATAAAATCATAGAAAACATATCAACGATTTGTATTGATTTTCTCGATATTAACAAATGCATAAATATTTTGAATTTATTCCTATGTTTAATACAGGAATAATTTTCGGGCAAGGACATGTAAGAACGTTCGACGATTCTTCTCATAGAATATGTGCAGAAGGTGACTATATTTTGATGACAATTCAAGCTCCGGAATTAGAACAGGTTATAGTTCAGGGAAGATTTTTAGACAATGTTGTACCGATAGGTGGTAAGTACTCAACTTATAAATTGTAAATTGAGACAATTGTTGTTTCAATTTGTAAAGCAGACCGAAAGATGATAGAACAATGTACGTGCTTAACTTTACATCTAATCAACTAAATATCAAATAAGTATATACAATCAGTTTGTGTAAACTTATGTTTAATAAGTTCCCCTTTTCTGTATTTTTCTGATCTTTTGTTGAAGACTATCGGAACAAAAAGTAATGTAATTTCAAACTTCTAAAAAGTTTGAATCGTTATATTTAAAAATACCAAGATAATTAGATACATAGAGAAATCCTTAAATAGTTCCTTCTATTATATTTCTCGTGGTAAGCATAAACTGGTATCAAAAAAAATCTTTTTAAAACAAAATGTGTTGTGTTGTTGTAGGCATGTTGAATAACAGTGTTACCTTAACCAATCTTGCGGTCGAGGTCGGTGTATTAGATACTGTGAAAATAAGATTGAGACCACCACTATTTGGAAGACAGAAAAGTCATCTAGAAGTTGTTGTAAACGATAAATACTTCTACTTTAATACTAGGTCAACCAGATGGCAGGATTTTGAGAGTTAGTTTTCAATACATTACACTTTATAAAAGTTTAAAGTTGTCAGTATGTAAGAGGATAAATCTATGTTTTCGTTATAGTTATTGTCACATGTAACATTTTGTAACCTTAGTTTTCCTGGTTCAAAAACTGATTTGTATGGAATGACAAACAAAATATACAATATATGTAAATTATAATCGTATTACATCACTCGGTTAACAACTCATCTTGGTGTAACATAATATTCAATTATAGGGATATTTAGGCTTACAAATATGATACAAATACAAAGTTTGTTAGTTAACGTTTTATTAGGAACAAATATGCAAACCGCTCGTGACCATTTTTATGATAACAAGTCAATAAATGTACGATTTGAATTAAAACTTCTTATATAATTTCTTACGAAATATCGGAACATCTTGAAATCTTGAATTTTCATTTAGTATTATGTTTCGTATCATAAAGAGATACATTTTATAGGGTAGGGTATGATCTTAAATGTTTTTGAAGTTAACATGTTTTATTCCATTATGATCCATTATGCTATTTTGCAAATGTATGTGCTGTTGCCATAATTTTATCTCTAAATGGCATAATCAATTGATTTATTGAAATAAGCTAAAAAATTGGTACCCTCTTCTCAAGATGTGTTTGGATAAGTGAGGTCGCTTTTTTAGTGAAACTGAAAAGGTCATTCGGATAAAAGAATAAAAATAGGATATATACAACATAACGTACCAAACAATTTATGATGATATCATTAAAACAAATTTAGTGGTTAAAGGGGAGGTAGAGAAACAAGATGCTTTACCCCTTTTGAAGATATGGTAGTCCATGTTTATTCATTGGAACAATCCCTAGTATCGATAAAATGTGCGTAGTGGCATTAATAAAGAGAGATACTGTAAAAAATTCATTGATTTGAAATCCCTTGTTTAGTATGAGATGTGTATAAAATATGCCTTACCCCACCTACCCACAAAACAAAACAAAACGACAAAAGAAATTTGATTGTAGATTTCAAAAATCAATGGTATGTTTGGAAGACACCAAAACTATTTGAAACAATGAGAAAATTTGCGGCAATTAGAATTATCGCATTCACTAGGTGGAGGGTAATATAATTCTATTGATCAGTTTATGATCTTTACGTTTCAACTCATCCTGTAACATCACATACGATATACAATTGCCTTGCCCCACAATATTTGTGTGATCTAATTCCTCCAAATATTTAAATTATTATTGTTTATCCTCTGCGTAATAATAATGACTTAATATCCCTTTGTAGACTGTCTTTAACAAATTGTTTTTATTATTCCTTCGTCTATCAGAGAATGGCACAAACTTGATAATTCTATTCGTACCCTTGATACATTATATAAGTTCAAGCTTTCTTTGTTGAGTAAAACATACGACACAAAGACTTACCGATGCATTTCATGTATGGTTCGCGGAAATTGAATGCAACTTAAACACAGATGCGCTGTTCAGCCTCATTTATAAATTACGACCTATTTAAATCAAATATAATTCGGAGTCCATATTGTGTATGTGGTGCTCCACGTGAGGATGCATTTAATTTTTTCTTTAATCGCAATAAATTTACCGATATAAGGAACGATTTATTTACTAGCATTCATCGTTTTCAAGTGAGAACTAATCTAGAGTTGTTCACTGAGGGTCGCCAAAATTTAAAATAACATACGAGTAAAACTTTTAATACATTAAACAATGAACTCAACTGTGCATACTTAGTATAATGTAATTATCATAATATGTAAAGGAGAAGACTAAATAAATTTGTTCAACTCGTGTCCGATCCTATTGGTCTCTTGATTAAATAAAATCGTTATGAACTAAACATCACAAAATCTATGATCTATTATTACCTTCATTAAGGGGCCATCATTAATGTTTTGACAATATTTCTCTATAAAAACAAATTGCATGAATTGGTATTAATTGGGAATTACATTCATTGACATTATAATGCTACTAATCAATCACTGTTATTTAACATTTTTGTTTTCATTTTATATATAACATAATACTTGAAAAATAATTACAGATGAATTGGGAATTTTCGGTTTATAATGCATTTAAGACTTGACTCATCAGTCAAAATTATGAAATCTGAAAAGCGCAATGGTCATTCTTGCAAAAGAAAAATCAGAACTAAAACGCCAATTATTTTCATTCATGATAAGAAACTTTTATGTATTAAAAGTACAACAAAAATACCGAACTCCAAGGCATTTTTTCAGAATGTTTCAGTTTATTTTGGACATGAACATCCAGAATATTTTGAATTTGAAACAGAATTATTTTAATTTATTTAAATTATTTATTTATAGAATTTTCTGTTATGAATACCAACAGTGTTAACCCTGAAGAACATGGTAATTTCACTATTATTCTAAAAAAATGGAATTGGAATCCAAAATGCAGTAAAAGAGCATATTATGACAGCATTGTTTATGATTCCAGAGATACTTAAGGTACTATAAATTGCACTTGTTTTTTTTTATGAAAAATGAACAAAAGTAAGTGGTACAATACAACATTCAGATGCAAATTTTGAAATAGATGAAACCTTTTCTTTTTCAGCATAAATCAAAGATAAAATAAAGAATTTTGAAAAATTCAAAAACAGGAAAAGATGGAGAGTTGTCTCAAAAGTAGCGTCAATCGTATATATCAGTTTAAATCAAATTGCAGAAAGTCTTAGAGAAATGAATTGCCTTATGTCCGTAGAATAAATAACAGATTTAAGAATATCATTTTGGTAGAAGCGTTTATTTAGGGCATAGTTTATTCAAAGAACGTCCGAAAAAGACTCATTTGATAAATAAACATTTTTCATCTCTTCAAAATTTTCAAGGACAACAGCAATATTTGGTTAACCAGTATATCTATTTGTGTAACAAATAACCAGATCTGACTTAACTTAATAAAATTTTCATTTTCCATATTCAGCCTTTTGGTACAAAGAATGATACTTGATTGAATTTATCAAGTTATTTTTTCGCAGATCATTAAGCACAGAGGTGTATTGCAAGGTCAGTGCTATATCACAGAAGAAACTGTTGTTGTAACCCCGGTCGCTTTTGTCCTTTCATATAAGGTACAAACTTGCATGACCTAAGAAACAAAAAATGTTGTTTTGAATTTTTATAAACGCAGATTAAGTAGTAGCCATGCAAGCTCAGAAGTAATATTTCGCTTCTTGTCCTTTAATGTTTGCAGGGTTATGTGGATGGTTTACTTGGTAATTTCAACATGAATCCGGATGACGATCTTGGTGGTGCATTGAATGGTGCCAGCATCTTAGAAACGTATCACATGTTTCAGTATAAATGTAAGCACCTGCATAGTATATTACAAGGTAAAACTGTAAAATGTTATAAAACCATCTCTTCAATTTGTAGAGCTTTGGCAACACTTATGTTTTGCTTTGTGGAACCTTAAGGACTATTTAGATCAAAAGTGAAATAGAATAGATATCAGCATTTAGAAAGAAACGTTATCAGCAATCAAAGCTGGGCTTCAAAGTTATTGTGATACTAAATGTTCTAGAGGTGGCGTGATTCAGATTTAGATACTAAAAAATTCCTGCTTTGTTTTATAAAAAAGAACGTAGCTACAAATTTCTTGTCTTAGGGAAGTATAAATCGTAATTTGTAAAAAATCACTCAGATTCAAACAAAAAATTCTCTGAAACTGACATTATCAAGATGCTTGATTTCTTGATTGACAACATATTTGTTACATTTGGGGGACATGTTTTCAACAAACAATCGGGATTCC